ATATATATATATATATGGAAGAAGTTAATTATCATTATTTGCGGATGACATGATATTCTACACAGAAGACCCCAAAACACCACCAAAAGACTTAGATTTAATAACCAGATTCAGTGGCACAGCTGGATACAAAGGCAACACTCAAAAATCAAAATCAATAGCTTTCCTGTACACGAATAACAGACTCACTGAGAGAGGTTAGAGAAACAATCCCTCTCACAATAGCATCCAAAAAATTGAAATAACCTAGGAATCAGTCTAACACAGGAAGTAAAAGACCTCTCCTTGAAAACTTCATTATTTTGAAAAAGGAGATTAAAAAGTGTATCAGGAAATAGAAAGATATCCCCGTTCCTAGGTAGGGAGAACCACTGTACTGATAATGGCCCTACTTCCAAAACTGCTATACAGATTCAGTGCAATCTCAGTCAAAATCCCTACAGCATACGTCACAGAAAAAACAATCCTAAAATTCATTTGGAACCAGAAGAGACCTAGAATAGCAAATTCTGGGCAACAAAGGCAAGGCAAGTATCACAATCCCTGACTTTAAATTATACTACAAAGCTATGGTGATAAAAACAGCATGGTGTTGGCAAAATAACAGATCTGAGAATCAATGGAACAGATTAGAAGATCAGGAATAACTCCAGAGATACTCAGCCACCTTATCTTAGACAAAGGAGACAAACACCTTCACTGGAAGAAAGATAGCCTCTTTAATAAATGGTACTGGAAAAACTGGCTTCCCACATGCCAAAGATTGAAACTAGGCCCATATCTTTCACCATGCATTAACCTAAAATTGAAATCGATCAAAGATTAAATATTAAAACTGAAACACTAAAATCTGCTGGAAGAGAATAGGTAGGACACTTGAGGACACAGGAGTAGGCAGAGACTTCATGAACAAAACCCAGACCTCACAAGAAATACTACAAAGAATCAACAAGTGGGACCCCATCTTATTAAAAAGCTTTTAATAAAAAGCATTTTATTAAAAAGCAAGAGAAACCACCAACAGAGTGAAGAGAAAAATTTTTACCAGCTATTCACCAGATAAGGGACTATTATCTAGGATATATAAAGAACTAAAAAAAAAATCAGACTCCCTAAATTTGAAGACCCAATCCAAAAACGGGCACCTGAAATGAAAAGACACTTCTCAGATGAAGTAGAAACAGCAAATAGATATATGAAAAAATCTCCTTCAACACCACTGATCATTCGTGAAATGCAAATTAAAACAACGCTGAGATCCACCTCACCCCAGAAGGAATGGCTATCAAGAAATCAACCAATAACAAATGCTGGCGGGGCTGTGGGGAAGAAGGAAGCCTTCTCCCTTGTTGGAGATGGTTGGGAGTGTAGGTTGGTGTGACTACTGTGGAAATCAGTGTGGAGAGTTCTCAAAAAACAAACTCGGGCTGGGAATTTAGCTCAGTGGCACTGCACCTTCCTGCAAAGTGGAAGGTCCTAAGTTCCATCCCTGGTTGGGGGGGCAAAAATAAAACGCGAAAACTAGAGGCCTCATTTGACCCAGCTGTACCTCTTCTTGGTATCTTCCCAAAAGGATTAAAAGCATCACACCACAGTAATATATGCACATCCATGTTTATAGTGGCATAGTTTGTAATAGCTAAATCTTGGAAACAGCCCAAATGCCCGTCAACCAATGAGTGGATAAGAAGATGTGGGTCTTTTTAAATATACAGTGGAGTTCTACTCTGCCGTAAAGAAGGCTGAGCTTGAGACATTTACAGCTAAATGCATGGACCTTGAGGTCATACTCAAGTGAAATAAATTGGACACACACATTTAAATGCCGCATTGTTTCTGTGGTGAGAGAAGCCAAAAGTGGAAATAAGGACTGAGATGTATAATAGACGTTGGGAAATGAGGAGAAAATGTTCAGATTGGGAGGGGAACAAGGGAGGGGGAGGGGGAAGAAGGCAGGAGGAACAAGTGAAAATAGGAGGGAAAAATGGGGACAAAGCTTTTGTCTCCATTTTTAAAAATAAAATTCATTATTAAAAAGTTATACTAACATAAAAAAGGAGTTTAGGAATTAAGACTAGAAACAGCAACAACAAATAAAGGAGTTGGGGATGCAGCTCAGCAGCTCGGCACCTGGGTGCCGAGTGTGAAGCTCTGAGTTCGATTCCCGAAACCCCAAAAAGAAAAGAAAAACACAACAGCCCAAAAACCCAAACCCCAAAGAAGGGGAACAAGACTGTGTGCACTAAGACTCCTATATGTATATTTTATTATGCAGGCTTTCAGTCACCTAATCCAAAAATAAATTTAAAAAATTTAAATTCCTTTAATTTGAAAATAAATGAACTAAGCCATACCAACTAGGCAACATCATCCCATGCAGAAAGAGTTAAAGAGACTTTACATACTTATTTGATGTATTTGAAGTATAAAAAAATAACAGTAGAATTTAAAAATTTTAAACTCACATATTAAACTCTCTTAAAATTTAAACTTCTCTGAGACTAATATTGTCTGCAGTTTTATCAAACTACAATATTCTTGTAAATGAAAGACGTAAATAATTATATATTTTGTTTCTTTGTTTTGCTTTTTTTTTTTTGGAGGGGCGGCAGAACCACTAAGCCAAATCGCTGGCTGTTTTGCTTTGTTTCTGCGGCAGGTGTCACTGTGGTTCAGGCTGGCCTTGAATTTGCCTTTATCCTCCTGCCTCAGCTTCCTGAGTGCTGGGATCACAGACATCCACCACCAAATCCAGCGTAGATAATTATATTAATAATGTAAGGAATCAATATTTCAGTATAAGAAAAAAGTACACTGTCATACCAAGGCTGGCTTTTTTTGTGTTTTGTTTTTTGAGACAGGGTCTCATTATGTAGTTCAGGCTGGCCTTCAACTCACTATGTAGCCCAGGTTGGCTTTGAACTCACGGTGAACCTCCTGCCTCAGCCTCCCGAGTGCTGGGATTAAAAGCATGTGCCTAGCTTGCCTGTCATTATTATAATGATATATTCCCAGCTCATCTGAAAACCCCAGCCAATTTCACTTGGCACTTGAAATACTTAATATCAGTATATGACAATTAACCAAGTTTTTCTACTTCATATAAAACCTTTAAGGGCCGGGGATTTAGCACAGCGGTACTGCCACCTACCTCACAAGTGCAAAGACCTGAGTTCGAGCCCCAGTACCAAAAAAATAAAAACCTTTAAAACAGCAGGCATCTGTTGGTTTAACACTTGTCTAATTAATTTACGAGTCTGCGTAACAACATTATAAGATCTCAAGTATGTTTTCCTTTTCCTGGCAACAAATGTGCACTGTGTTGTAAATGATCAGGGAAAGGCGCCCTGCACACACAGGGTGAAGGGAAGAGCTCTGAGCAGCAGCAAAACAAATCATGGAAGCTTTAAACATGGCTACTGAACACTGAGCTGAGAAGGCTCAGGGGAGGCTGTGGTCCCGCTGCTCCTCAGTGGGAGATGCAGGTGAAGAAAACAGCTATGGGCAGGGTGTGGCGGTGCACACCTGTGAGCCCAGCCCTCAGGAGGCTGAGGCAGGAGGATCACCAAGAGTTTGAGGCCAGCCTGGGCTGTGAGCACTCCCTTTGCTGTGCCGGGCCGCCCTGGAACGCATTGTGAACGCGATTTTTTCTGCTCTTGTCTTCGTTGTGGTCTCTTCGCAGCAAACAGTGAGTGTTCTGCCTCCGTGATTAGAATTCCCCTTACAGATTTGTTGTCAAGGACCAGTGGCTGTCTTATTGTTGTTTTCTAAGGCTGAGTAAAATACTGCAACTGAGCGCCTTAAATAACACCTTCTTTCCCTGGTACTGGGGATGGAACACGGGACCTTCACACTGAGCTACGTACCCAGCCCTTTTATTTATTGTTTTGAGACAAACTTAGGGTCTCACTAAGTTACCCAGGTTGGGCTCACATCTACAATCCTCCTGCCTCTTCCTCCCAGGGTGCTGGTTTAGAGGCAGCACAGTCACACCTGGCTTTTTGTTTTATTTTCTCGGAGACGAGCTCTCGCCGTCTTGGCCAGGATAGGGTTCAGCTCCGAGGTTCACACAATCCTCCAGCGGCAAGTGTGTGTTTCTCGCAGTTCTGGAGACTGGAAACCCGCAGTCAAGGTCGCAGCAGATCCAGCTCCTCCTGGGGTCGCCCCCGTGGGAGTTTAGGAGGACAGCGAACGTCCGCCATCCGGGGAGCTGCAAACACGCCTCCTCCGGTAAGGGCCACAGCACAGCCTCAAGATCCTCCCTGCATGGGGTACCCGGTAGAGCTTTCTTCACCTCTTTGTAGTTACCCTGCCTTTCTTCGGTCTGTGTGTGGTGCTGAGGACTGAACCTAGGACTTTGTGCAATTAGGAAGTGCTCTATCCTAAGGTACCCGCCCCTCCCTTTATTTTATTTTGAAACAGGCTGCTGCTCTATAGTCCAGGCTGGCCTCGAACTTACGATCCTCCTGCCCCAGCCTCCCCAATAGCTGAGACTACAAGCGTCCACCACCATCCCCTGCATTCATAATTTTTATTCCTGTTTGTCTGAAAATAAGACCTAACTGTAAAATAATAAGCCTTGAAAGCTGGAGATCAAAAATGCCAGGGCCAGGGATTTATCTCAGTGTTACCATGCCTGCCTTATAAGCTCAAGATCTTGAGTTCAATCCCTGATGCTGAAAAAAACAAAACAAAACAAAAAAGCTCCTGGCCTGATCACCATGCCTCACCTGCCTTACAGAGTGGCCACTGAGCAAGAGAACAGGGAGGTGTAATCTTCTGCAGGACACTGGCCAGCAGAAGACCAGCACTTATTTTCCAGTTAGGTCTTATTTTGGGCAAAGTGCAGCGTTAGACTGCTATTTATTTATTTTTTTGGTTCCGGGAATTGAACTTGGGACCTTGCGCTTGTGAGGTAGGCGGCGGCCCTAGACGCCTATTTAAATTAGCACGTGGTTTGTGTCTCTTAATTGGACGCAGACTCACAAAGAATTGCTAGGTCCCAGGAGAGGTCCCAGGAAGTAGACTAAGGAAAGTAAGATTCTGGCGCTGCCTGTGACCTTGGGCTGAGCTCAGGGTTGTCCTTGTCAATGAGAAAGGGCCACTGTTTGGACCTCTCGTTCTGCCTCCTGTGTGGTGGCTGAGCTCACCGGCCCGACTCAGGCACAGCCTGGGGGCCCGGATGGCTGACGCTTCGCTTGCGGTGTGGCCAGTGTGGCCCTAAGGAGGACTCTCAGTGCTGTGGGGTGGAACAGGCTCGTGGACTGTACCTGAGCACTTAGAAGGGAAACGTAAGGAGCTCTGGTCTGTAAGCTCTCAGTTCAGAGAGCTCCTGAGATAACCCCAAGAGGATCCCGTCTTTCTTGTAGCACTAGGGCTGATATTGCTGCAAATAAACAAAATTTAATCGTGCCGGTTGCTGAATAATAACAACACTTGAATTCGTCATCTTGCCAAAGACATTGGTCAGGAAGGAACAAGATCCTGAACTCTGACATTGAGACATCTCAGGTAAAATGAGATACTGCAGACGAATTAAGACGTTCAAATGAAACTGGTAGTCTTGAGTTCCCAGGCACCCCGGGTCCTGTCCCAGCAGAGGTAGCTTTTCCTCTGGTACCTGCAGGCATCAGCTTTCCTGGTTTGGGAATTTATGGCAGCCTCACCTGCAGCAGGTGCCTTGAAAGCAGAGGCTCATTCTCTACACCCTGATGTCATACAGCCCATGAGTCAGGTCTGGCCTCGCAGTACTCCAGAGGGACAGGAATAGTCTGGTCCAACAGGAAGTAGCTAACACACCAAATGGGTGCAGGGCATTGCTAATGCACATGAGTAGTGCCCTGGGAATACATGTGAGATTCCAAGGTTCTGTGTTAGTCAGTTTTCCATTACTGTAGCAAATACGCATGGTAATCAACTTATAAAGAAGAAAGGTTCACTTTGACTCACAGTTTTGGAGAGTTCAGTCCATGGTAAGTTGGGCTTTTTGCTTTTGGATGTAGTATATTATTTTGTGTAGCTGCTGGTGGGTCTTATTGCTTATTCAGTTGTTTGACTGAAACTTGAACTCAAAATTCAAGGTGTTTGTTTTTGTTTTTGAGACACAGTCTCACTATGTGGTTCAAGCTGACCTTGAACTCACTGTGTAGCCCACGCTGGCCTCAAATTCATGGTGATCCTCCTGCCTCAGCCTCCTGAGTGCTGGCCCCACTGTGCCTGGCCATCCATAACCATATTCTATGGTAAGTCTGAAGAAGATACTCTTTCTACTAAGGCACTGAAAGCCAGGTGTGGTGGTGCATGCCTATAATCGCAGCACTCTGGGAGGCTGAAGCAGGAGGACTAATAGTTTCAGCCCAGCCTGAGCAACTCAGCAGAGCCCTGATTCAAAATAAAAATTAAAAAAAAAATTTTTTTTTTTTTTTTTGAGACAGGGTCTCACTATGTAGTTCATGCTGGTCTTGAACTCACCATGTAGCCCGAGAGTGGCCTTGAACTTACGGAGATCCTCCTGCCTCAGCTTAATGGGGGTTATGATTACAGCTGTGGGCCACCACATCTAGGTGACTCAAAAAAAAAAAAAATGGAAAGGGGCTGAGAATATAACTCAGTATGAGCCTTGGGTTCAATTTCCAGTACCACAGAAACAAAGGAGCAACTAAGGCCCTGAAAAAGGCATTCGAGGCTAGAGGGTATAATAGCTCTGTGGTAGAATGGAAGTTTGCAGGAGGTCCAGGGTTTGATCCCCAGCACCATGGCGGAAAAGCCTCCTGAGAGCTGCGCCCGTACCCTTGAGAGGCTCTGTGGTTGCTGTCTTTCCCAGGCCAGGTGTGACTGTGGGTGTCTCCTTCAGCTCCAAAGAGCCCAGTGTTTAGGGAAAGGACACCCTGGCCCACGGAGCTCCTAAGGGTGCTGTTTGACGGGAGTAAACCTGGGAATTAGAGGCTCTGCCCACTAGAGAGTGCTGTGCGGCCTCTGCGCAGGAAGAAGTGTGGCTCTGACTGGGCCTGAGCCGCCACAGTGGAGAACAGCGCCTCACGCCTACTTTCCAGACCTAGAGCCCCCAGACTCCCTTGGGCAGGACTGAGCACCAGGGCTGCAGGACAGTACCTTAGGGGCAGGGGGTGGCGCAGTGGTGCAGCCCTCACCCAGCACAGGCCAAGACCCGCGTTCAATCCTGGGGCTACCAAATAAACACCCTTAGTCTTTTCCCAGGCAGCCTGGAAGGAAGCCCGCAGGCAGCAGCTCCCCGGAGTGACTGCGCTGGGGAAGAGGAAATGCCCCGGCCTCTTCGAGGATTCTTAGACACTGGCTCCGGATGGCTGCCGTTCCCAGGGCCTGCAGCGTCACCCTGGCCCACATTCGGGGTCGGAGTCTGTGGCCGGCGGGCGGTGGGTGCAATCTCAGGTCTGACCTGCAGGGAGCCGGGCTGGCTGTGAACACACCCTGAGGTCATTTTCCGGGCTCCCGGGGGTGCAGACAGCAGTGCCCAGCTGCTCCCGGGCCACTGAGGGACTTTCACCCTGCTAGACGGTGAGTCTGGCCACGCACCTCTGGGGGGACTGCAGACCCTAACGTCCCCATCAGAGACGCCGCTGGGGCCGAACTCCGGAAGCTTACTGTGCAGAAGTCACGTGGATTTGCAGGGATGACCCTGGCCGGTCAGAACCCAATGTGGCGACTTCAAAAGCAGCGGCTGCCCACATGCGGTCTCTGCTCTATGGCATGATTTGCTGGGGCTGTGAATCATCCCAAAGTTTTTGTGTTTTTTAAGTATACAAACATACAGGGCTTTAAAAGTATCTTTTAAAAACTGATTTCTAGCTGGGGGTTTAGCTCAGTGGTGTCGTGCCTGCCTCTCGAGTGCAAGGGCCTGAATTCGATCCCTGGTAACAAACAACAACAACAAAAGTGTATTTATAGAGGGCAGTGTGTAGTGGCACAAGCCTGTAATCCCAGCAGTCGGAGCTTGAGGTAGGAGGATTGCTGGGCTTCGAGGCCAGCATGGGCTATGTAATAAGTTCAAGGCCAGTCTGAAATGCATAGCAAGACCTTGTCTCAAAAAACAAAACAAACAAAAAAAAAAAACAGGCGTGGTGTCTCACACTTGTAATCCCAGCACTGGGGAGGCTGAGGCAGGAGGATTTCTGAGTTCGAGACCAGCCTGGGCTACATAGTGAGTTCCAGGTCAGTCTCAACTACATAGTGAGACCCTGTCTCAAAAAACCAAAAAAAAAAGAAAAAAAATTAAATGAGGGTTAAATGAGTAATTTTTAGCAAAAAATGTATTGACACATTTTAGATATACATAGTGGTAACGCTCATCAGCGGGAAGTTCTCCTGTACATGATGTATCCCACCTTTTCTTTTCTCCCCATTCCCCCCTTCCCTGAAGCCTCCCTTCCCTATATACAAAAGCTTTGTTTCCATTTTCTTCTATTTTATTTTTTCTTGTCCCTCCATTCCCCTGCCTCCTCCCTTGTTCCCGTTCCTATTTGAACATTTTCTTCCCATTAAATAGTAACTTTTATTTAGATAAAAACTCAGAGTTTTTCACTTACATGGAATCAGTGAAGAATTTTTTTTTTTCTGGGACCTGGGATCGAACTCAGGACCTTGAGCTTGCACAGCAGGTGCATTGCCAGTGAGCTACATCCCCAGCCCACAATGAAGGATTCTTAAGGGATATATTTCTTCAGGACGAAGGAAACTAAACGTTGGAATGTAAGACAGAGGAGTGTGAAGTAAATTGGTAAGAACTTGCAGCCATGGAAACAGATGTTGACTATATAAAGCGATGGCAGTGACGTCAATTTGGGGTGTAGAAGATGTACCGACTCTCCAAACAAGAGGGAGGGGGCTGGGGATGGAACTCAGTGGCACTGTGCCTGCCTCGCAAGCGCAAGGTCCTGAGTTCGATCCCCAGTACCCCCGAAAAGGAAGATATTTATTAGAAGAATGGAAATAGAAAGTATCACTTCCAACCACTAGAGGAAACAAGACAAAAGAATAAATAAAATCATCCCAAATGCAAGCAAGAAAGGAGAAAGAAGCAGCCTAGGAACCATCACAAAGTAACACACAAAGTGAGATAAAAGAAATTACCCTGAGGGTGTGCAGTGAATACACACCAGGGGCGTGCACTTGCCAGGCAAGCATCACCACTGAGCTACGTCCTCACCCCATCTTTTCTTTTTGAATGCAGAGGCCCAGGCTGGCCTCGAACTCCTGGGCTGGAGCGATCCTTCAGACCCAGCCTCCTGGGGAGCTGGGACGATAGGGCCACACTTCCCCACATGCTGGTTGTTTTAAAATATCAAACACAGTATATTTAAAACAAAGAGCGCACTTGCAGAATATCTGAAAGTAAGTGCACAGAGAGAGCTACACTGGACAGAAAGCTAACCACAAGAAGGCCTTATTAGTGGGCAAGGGTTTTAGCTAAGTGATAGAGCACCTGCCTAGTGTTTTATGTTTGTTTGTTTGAGATAGGGTTTCCGATGTTCAGGCTGGCCTTGAACTAACTCATCATGAAGCCCAGAATGGCCTGGAACCTACGGCGATCCTCCTGCCTCAGCCTCCCAAGTGCTGGGATTACAGGTGTGCGCCACTACACCTGACCTAATAATGTTTTTAAAGCAGGGTC